ATCGTTTACCTTGTAACTCACTCTTGAGTTCGATTACTGGATTAGTAAATAAAAGTGACAATTTAATGGCTATACGCTTATCTTTACTTCAAATTTCAACAACTTAACACTTATGGCTCGTTATTCGAGCTTACACCTTTTTGTTTATATCTCAATTGCTCTTAACACATTAACACTCTAACTAGAACAGTGTGTGCTGCACAATCCGGTAGCGCTTATACAGAAAATCTTTAACAAAAGTTTGCTACTGAACATTCTGGTAACTACGAATTTGCTTCTGGCAATTTATCGTTTGTTGGATTTTGTTCTATTATCCGTGTTCGTCACAATACCTATATATACTTCATTGAGACTTTTACATTCTGTACCCAGAAGGAAATGTCGGCGGCCCTATAAAGTAAATCTAGAAGTGATCAACGTGACAGCCTAAATCGATAAATCCATGTCGGACAGTCTGTCTATACCATATATATGCGAGCAAGTTTCTCAGCTTTTGTGATATCGCTCTAAAATATTATACACGTTCTTTTCTCCACAAGTTGCTCCTCATTTCTCGAAACTGGCGATATCGTAACACTATAATCCAAATAAAGTTCCTGTACGGAATTGTTATTTATTTGATAAGATATCTTCACGAAATTTGGCACGAATTATTGTCTGAGGCAATAATGCAATATCCGAAGCAATTGTTCAGATCGGGTCACTATGGCATATAGCTGCTATACAAACTGACCGATCAAAATCAAATTAAGCTTTGTTTTGTACACTTTTATGCTATAAAAAATGCAATTGTGAAGGGTATATGAAGTCTTTTCTTGTCTATAAAATACCTCAGTATCAAAAGTGGTAAAGTTTCGTTTAAAGTGCTCTAATGTTTTGCCTCAGAGCTGTGGAAAGGATGACGCCACTGTAAAAACACAAAAATTAGTGCTCTTGCCTACGTTTTTATGCAAGAATAAAAAATTACTCACACTAACACACGTTCACATACACACATATTCCTTTTCTTTCACAGAGTGTGCCACTTTCACTTCATTTTAGCAAAAAATTTGTGTGCATTTAAATGTTTTTATCTAAAACTATGTCAGTCTGGCGTGAGACAATGTAAGCAAGTGTCTGAGCATCTAGGTATGTGTGTATATGTTAGAGAATGGATTCATTTGCTGTATGTGTGTGTGTTTGTTTTAGCCACAAAAACTTTTACGCCTTTTCGTATTTAATTGTGTGCGAAAGTTAATCTTATGTTAATTACCAATGCGACAAAAGGCAAACAGATAAACTGGAGTTGGGCGGAATGGGGTGAGGGTAGACAGCGGCAGGCAACAATAGGGAATGAGTGCGTTATGTAGTGGGAATTTAACCAGAGAATAACACTAGAGATGCATTGTTTGTGGCGTCTTTTGTTAGGTTTCGTGTTTAGCTAAAGTGACTTGGTGGCGTAGTTTGGGCTTCACACACACACACACACACACACACACACCAATAACAACAGCCATTAAGCTGTATTGTTCTACATTTAATTAGTTGTTGTTTATAGTTCGTTCATGCAAACACACATACACATACTTATACATATACTCCCATTGCGTATACACTCAAGCACTAGTTAAGCTCTTGTAGCTGACATTCGTAAGCGTTGCTCATTAAAAATCTATTAAGTAAGCATTGGGGCGGTTTTTGGAGCTCAACGTTAATGCCAATTTGATAGCGTCAATGAATTTGCGTAAGCGCAATAAGCATTCTGCAGTGAAATGGCATGCTTTGTGTGACTGTAGCGGTGTGGGTAAGAGCAAATAGCTCATTATAGCGCACCACTAGGCGTATGAGTAACATTTTTCTATAGCGCCCCCCATTCGAGAGCAATTTGATTGCATTTGCGCTAGTAAGCAACAACACTAAGGTAGACAACAACACTAGGGTAGACAACAACAAAAGCGAAATCAAAATCGAAAGCTAAATCTCGCTTAGGTTTGTCATGGTGTGGCCAAATCGAAAGCACTTAGACATTTTAAACTCATTTGCGCACGTCGGAATGTCAATGTGAATGGCGCTCAAATTTTAAATAAATTAGAAATCCATTTCCGAAAAGCATTTGCAACGGCACACTCTGCCAACTCATTCTGTCTGTCGGCTTAATTGCCTATTTCAATTTTCATTGCTTTTACGAAATGTGCCCATTATAGCGCGCGCACGTTTGTCCCCTGGGTACCGCTCACCCGCTCACCCGCACACCCGTCAGCCAATTGCCATTGTCATTTCTGTTTATCGGATGGCCTCGCTGATGACCCCATTATTGCCAATTTTTTTTCATTCAATTCAGTTTTCTTTGTGTGTGTGAGCAATTTCAATTTTGTTTTTGTTGCTTTTAGTGTTTTCTTGTCTATTTTTTGTGCAATTGCCGCCTGAACGGCTCCAGTGTGCTAGCAATGATTGTTTGTAGATTGTGTTATGGCCACAGAACACTTGCAAATCTTTTGAGCAACGTTGCCGCTTATTTGTGTGTGTGTGTTTGCATTGCTTCCTGCCAGCGAATGGCAAACAATTTGAACTTTGGCCGCAACTTAGATCTCTAGTGACCCGAAATAAATTGGGTGGTGTGGGAAAAGTTGATTGGAAAACTAAGTTTTGCTAACAGCAGAGATACAAAGTATTTGCTGGCGAACAAAGGTTACGAAAAATAGTTTAAAAAAAATAACAAATGTATATGAAAAAACTTGCGAAATATGGTACTTATGGCAACATTTTCCATTTAAAAAAAGTTGAAATTTAACACTGTCAATGCAATGCATATTTTTGGTTCCAAGCCATAGAGTGGTCTTTTTATGAATACGTTAAAGATTTAAAATTTAACCTCGCTAACTGGCATTTGAACTATTAGAGATAATTATTATCTCTCGAAAATATGTACTTCCTGTAATCTAATGACTTTCCATTTATCGAAAATTCTTAAAAATTTAATCGCTTTTTCCATTTGATTTTCAAAAATTTCAACTAGTTTAATCTAACTGACTTCACCCGAATTGTCCCCTCCAAAACAAGATTTAAAAATATTGTCAAAATCTTATCGCTTCACCATTTTTTTTACTCAGTCAAACTTTTCGGTTATAAATCTTTGTAAGTTAACAACTCTTTTGCAGCTGAAAGATTAAAACAGGTTCAAAGAATTTCTTATATATAACTTATAATCTTATATATAACTTATGCACATAAAACTACAATAGTTATTCATAAAATTAGTTTTTAAACTCGCAAACTTTTGGTTTGGAAATCTCTGTAAACTGTCACCTTTCACAGCTGTAAAACGTTAAAATGAGTTTAAAAAATTTTCTTAACTTGCTAAAAAAAAAATATAATAGTTATTCATAAAAAAAAAATTTAAACACGTGTTGATTAGAAATGTTTAAGAAACTCCGAATTTAGTTTGATATTTTTATTATTCACTTTCAACTATCCGCGTTTTGTGTTTGTATTTAATGATGGTGAAATAATATTTACCTTTAGTAAACACCGAGTTTACGAGTGGTGTTTAATTAAACTCCAAAATTTTCTCGAAACATGAGTTTTTATTCAAAAATATTATCTGATAGTTTGAATTATATTCTACTTATGATAAACACGAGTTTACGAGTGGTGTTTATGTTAAACTCCATAGCTGTTCACAAACACGAGTTTCTATAAAAACCCATTATCTGACAGTTAAGTCAAAATATATTCAAAATATATATTATAATAACACGAGTTTACATTTGGAGTTAATGATAAACTCCAAAATTATCCAGAAAAACGAGATTATATAAAAAAGCATTATCTGAAAATTTGGTTTTAAATATATTCTTCTTATGATAAACACGTGTTTAAGAGTGGGGTTAATGGTAAACTCCAAAACTTTTCAGACACTCGAGTTTATATAAAATTCGGAAAGTTGAGTTTATATAAAAGAAACATTATCTGAAATTTGGGTTAAAATATAGTCTGCTTATGATAAACAGTTTATGGGTAGTGTTTATCGTTAAACCCTAAAATTATCAAAAAATGCGTGCTTGTAAGAAAGTAGCCTTATCTAGAAGTAAAGTTTTAAATGTTATAGCACTGTTACCAAAGTCTTGTTAACTCGAGTTTACTAACTTTAATGCTGTTGAGTGTAAAGCTGGTGAGAAATCGTATAATCTCGCTACAAAACAGAAACATATATATATTCTGACGTGTGAGATTTATTTTAAGTCAATATCTAAAGTAGTATATACTACATGCTATTAGGTCGTAAATTTGTGGTTATGTTATTGAACTTGTTTAAAAACCTTGCGCTAAAAAATCATATGTGAAATATTAATATCAGTATCGGCATATTAAGACTTTAACCGAATTTTCATTTAAGTTCTTATTGTTCCATAAATAGTATTGTCCTCATTGGAGAAGATTATCCCCTTCGCGAATTTTGAGTCGATTATGGTTATAAAAGATATTTAATGAGACTGGAAGTCATCTTGAAAGATGAAATGAAAATATTGGCTTACACTGGCTTATAATGAAATCTGAAACTAAGTTAAAAATTCGGTTTCTTCAACAGCGCTGTTCAAACCAGATCTTCGAATTGAAAAGATAGCATTTATCTCAAACCAACATTTCTGGTTATTATATATTATTATCAATAACGTTTGGCCGAAATCTTAGCACTTAAATTTTGATGAAAATGCTCTGTAGGATACATAGCAAATTATTCATCTTATAATATAACATTAATATTTTCAGTATTGTCCATCACATTAAATATATACTCCTCCTTACCTGAAAAAACGCTTATTCACTTTAACCCACACACTTAATATTGCTACCAACACCTTCCAAAAAATTTAATTATATTTATCTAACTAATTCACCCAAGAGCTTTGATATAATAAATCTCATAGAGATTTCTATCAAATCCATACGCTTATCTGCTCTATTAAGTCTTACACTATTTTCAATCATTTATTTTTTGTGTGCTTTCCAATCACTTACAGAATTCATACACAGTTCCGTGCGTTACATTGAGATGTCACGCACACATCTGCAAAGTGTCGACGATGAAACATTTCAGGGACTCAGATTGAAGACATTGAAATTGATCGATAACGAATTGCAGGACATTTCGGAGCGCAGTTTCAGGTGAGTGCACACATTTATATACCAACTGCTGGATATATGAGATTTTTATTTGTGTGTGCTACTAACACGCATAACCGTATATATGTATATGTAGTATGTATATATATGTGTATAGAACATATCATTGAAGTATTTATTTCATATCATCAATCGTACATGACTGGGGTTGTGAGATAAACGAGACAAGGATAAGTTGTGCGCTTACAAATTAGGGTGAAACGAAATGTATGCGTATGTATATATGTGCGTGTGATTAATAATGAAATGTTTCTATTTATGCGCATCTGTTTGTATATAGCTTGAACTTAAAGGTATTGCAATTTAATTGAGCGATTCAAGAGGTGTTTTCCAAGAATATCGATTTAATAAGGATAATGGTGATAATAATAGATTAAAACTGGCTATGCGAAAAGGGTGAATATATAATAAAGCTATATATTTTGTATATATGTGTACTGTTTATCAGTTTTTTATAGCGTTTATAAGAAGTAATGGCTTTTTCTCTAAGGATACATTGTTGGTTTCATCACGTTCTCACACGTTGCATCACAAGCTTGAATCGAGGATTTGTGTTTACCTCTCTAGCATACTTCAGTGGTCATATACACTTGCGAATTTCAAAAAATCAATTTTTGCATATGTATTGAACGTACATATAATTAAGAATATTCTTCGAAAATTGTAAGTTGATCCGGCACATAGTTTCGCTGATATGAACATATTTCTGAGAATTTTTTAACTTATTTTAAACGGCTTCCTAAACTTTAAAAGCCTTTTTTTCGAAACATTGTTCAGTTTCAGTGGGAAAAATTTCTCCGAAACGGCTGAACCCATTGACTTGAAATTTGTAAACGACTTTCTAGATATATTTGTGAGGTTATGATCGAAAGAATATGCTTTTTGTTATCATTTAGATTTTAAAGCCAATCTGTATAAATAACAACTTTTTTTTAAAGCCGACATTTTGTCAAAAATAAAAATAGTTAAAAAAAACAATATTTTGATTTTTGGATTTGCGATAAGTTTAAGCAGAGAAAGATAATTTTAAGCGTTCACATTTTTTCGGAGGCTATAATTCGGCTTTGCTATCAAACGAATCCAAATTATATGAGTATCAAAATGAGTCGCCTGTTATTATTAGAGTAAGCGTGCTTAAGAAACTCCGTATTTAATGCAACTCTGTTTATATTAACAGGTTTTATAGTCGAAGTTGAAAGTGAAGTATAAGCAAAACTTTGTAACCATTAGCCCAAATTTTACTAAGAGTTAAAGCTGCATTTTCATAAGCATAAAAAAATTGGTGTTCAAGGCGAGTTAAAGAACTTTTTAATTTGTTTCACTTTCGTGAGCAGTGCTTAGTGTTAAACTCAAATTTTTAATAAATTCGAGTTTGTGCCCTAGCACATATAATACCTTATAGTTCAGAGGATATACAATATGGCTTCTAAGCTCTCCGTTCAAAAGAAGATAAAATGCACTCCTCAATTCCCAGCAGTGCATGGTCATTAGCTATACCCAATTGAACAGAGAAGCAGAAGGATCATACAAAATAGAAAATACAAACTTTTAAGTGGTTAAAAATCCTCTTGAATTTGGCTGACCATCAACAGCTATATACTTGCAGTTTAGCCTAAGCATCCTCAAGTCCAAAAAATTCTTAGAATATATATTAGCTTCTCTTCGCCTCTTTTGGATCGCCTCGTATTTGGCTTGACAAAATTCTATTTTTAATCAGTTGAAAAAACTGGTAGGTTATTGTATGCAGAACTATAAAAGCAGAAAAAGTTTGATGGTGTACGGATAATTGGTATTCAAGTAATCATTCAAGCAAATTTGAAAAATGTAGTTTTGTGAAAAATGCAATTAATTAATAAATTGGTGGAGTTCATTCAACTGAGCGCTGCACTTTAGAACGTTGTAACTCAAAAACTTATCGATAACTCAATTTAAAATTTTAGTAGGCTATTTTCAAAGGTATTATCTATCGATTACTTTATTGATTATCCTCAATTTCACACCAGATATGGCTCTTAAATAAAGAAAGGTAGTCAAAAAATGTTCACTACATGAAATGTATTGATTATGTTTCTGATAAACTACTTTAATTACAATAACCGAATAAATTTTTTTATTTGTTGACCGATGTTAATAAACGTTTTCAAAATATGTTGTTAACATTAAATTCACCAAAAATAAATATTCATAAATAATATTGCACAAATTCCCACATATGCTAGGTAATCAATCATTTTACTCCAAAGAAAAATTAATATACCTGGTTTACTTAATGATGAATGCTCAAGCGAGCAGCTAGGTTGCAAAATAAATAAATAAAAATAGAGAGAATATATGCGAGCATATGAGCGAACATAAAACTAACACACCTACCAAAAATACGCTCAGCGAAAAGCATGCACACACACTATTAAGTTCGTCCATAGTTAATATTTTTTTTTTTTTTAAATAAATCTTTCGTTAAGCTTCAGCAAATACAAGCTATCCAGGGATTTCATGTGCTTATTGCCATTTTCATTTTCAATTTTCTTTAGCTCTTTGCACTCTCTCTCTCACACTAAGTGTGTGAGGTCAGCAAGCTAATCTCCTGAAACGATGCTTATGCTTTCGCTTTTGAGGATTTGTTTTATTTTTCTACATTTTAACGAATCTATTTTGCCATTTTGCCATATTAGATATAACTATATTTATAAGTAATGATGCAAGTTTATTGATTTGGCGGCAGCAGCGTTGCATATAAGTCATCTATTTAATAAAGGGGATAAGTAAGTTGCAAGCAAGCAGACAAGCTGGCAAGTAGTTTGCCGACAAAAGTGGACTCGTTTAATGTAGCATGAATGCAGTAAATGGAGAATTTAATATATAACTTATTCTTCTATTTTTATAAATATTCATTCAGCAAAAAATTGAAAAATAAGAAAATTTTTAAATCCTTGAATAACTTGTCAGTAAACTTTTTCTTATACGAAAAATAATTCACAAAATGTGTTCAAAATATAAACAATTCAATTATCGTTTTCGATTCGCCACTACTCTACTCACTATGCTAGAGAACACCTCTCTTGTCTCTACAATAACAAGATAAGAATCTAATTTTGGCGTTTAGAAGCCTGGTACTAGTTGGCATTCTCTTTTGCCGCTATTAAGTATGTATCTAAAATAAAAGAGTGTTATAAATTGGTTTTATAGGTCTCTCTTAAGAAAATTGTAGGTGAAGTTCATGGTATTATATTGATTGAACATATAGTGAGTGAATAGTATACTACTCAACAGAGGTGATTTTATGTGGAAAGTTATATACGAGTACAAATCAATAACAGTGATTACAAGAACTTTTCCATGAATATTCGGACGTTAAATATCATATTTAGGAAGTATTTTGCCTTACTGTGCCTCTACTCCAATGAGTTTATGTTATATTATATTTGATTTCCGAGTGACTTTCTGTCCGTTCGTCTCTCCGTCTGTCCATCCGTCTCTACGTGCAAACTGTAACTTGAGTAATAATAATAGTCGTGGCCTTAACCCCTTAATGATTTAATGTACATATATTTCAAATCGTTTAAGCTGAATTAACCAAATTTTCTGAAAGAGGTTTTAGCACCTCTTTATATAATGATAAAATGAGGAAAATCAGATAATAATCAGGCCTAGTTCTCATATAACGGTTATGTTGACGACTGCTAAAAGTGCGATAACCAACAGAATAAATGCGCAATAAGGGAAGAGCTTTATTAGAGCAGGTTTAAAAATTTATAATTTGTGTGGCACCTAACACGTAACACGGAGAAGGAAACGTCTGAGACCCTACAAAGATGTTTTAACCATGTCTGTCTGTCCGTCTGTATATACGCGTACTTGTCCCTCAGTTTTTGAGATATTGCTCTGAAATTTTGCATACATTATTTTCTTTCCAAAAAGTTACTTATATGTTAGAACTGCCGATATTGAAGGTCTATAGGATATAGCTGTCATACAAACTAACCGAACAAAGTCAAGCCCTTGTATGGAAAATATTCTTTATTTATAAGTATAGGTATTTTTACGAAAGTTGACATAGAATGTTACTCAAGACAGTGCTACAATGGCACACTGAAGTATATATGTACCATACAAACTGATCGATCAAACTCAAAAGATTCTATTATACTTTTTTTTTTTTTTTTGCTATAAGAAAAGCTACCATACAGGGTATTATAGCTTTGGTAATGCCGAAGTTATGGTGTTTGCTTGTTTTCAGTTGCTTTACGTAAATACTTTGTATAAATATATTTCTTATAATAGAACTTTAACAGTTTCATTTCATAAAACTGGCAGTAAATTCTAATATTATACACTTTCTTTAACTAAACAACAGAAGGAATAAAAATTTACAATTTTAGCAACCTACAAATTTGGGTATTCATTTTGAAATAAAATACTATTTTTAATGCACTAACGAGGCCTAAAAATACAAACTTTGCTTTACTCTCGTAATTACGAAATTATTTGTGGTTCCTTTTATTTTTGTTATTTTTGAGAGCCATCGCAAAGCCATTATTTCTCAATTCAAAGAATTCAATATAATGATAAAATTTTAAAGTTTTACGGTTATTAAAATTCATGTCTGTTGTTGTATTATATTGTAAACAAAGTAAATAAATCCCTTAATATACAAATCTCGCAAATAAAATACCTTTGCAATATCGTAGACTATTTTATAGGCATAAAATCGTATTTCAGGAAATTCATATTTATTTACGCCGAATTGTACAATATTTAAATACATTTAGTTCTTACCTTCTGAATGAAGTGCCATAATTTTATTACTACAAGCTTTCACTAACTGACCATTATTGATTTAATAATAAATATTTTATCCTGGGTATTTTATTACTTTTAGAAATATAAAGCTAAATATAATAAAAACATAATATTTTGATGGGAATGGTTTTTAAATAAAAAACATTAAAATAAAGCAGACAATTTTTTACCTGAAATATTTT